GGAAAGCCCCTGGTGGGTCGGGCCGGTTTGTTTACCTGCCGCGTCTGCAGGTTCGGCTGATCGTGGCTCCCACTGGCCGCGGTTCACTGTTCCAGGCCAATGGGGGCTGTGGGAAGCAGCAGCCAGCACATCCCTCAGCCCGCGCCGCTTTCCCGCAGCCCCCATTGGCTTGGAATGGCGAACCGTGGCCAGTGGGAGCCGCAATTGGCTGAACCTGCAGGCATGGCAGGTAGACAAACTGGCCCGGCCCGCCAGGGGCTTTCCCTGAACAAGCGGCGGACCGGCTTTGAGAACCACTAGAACTCTAATGCTTTGTTACATACTGTTCTCTTAGTAGTTGCTTTTGAGAAATTCTTTCTATATTTTCATGCTTGTATTATAAGAGCAAGTTCCTTTGTACTTGGTGTACACAAAGACACTCTTAAACTGTGTGGCTTTACTTATACTAGACAGGTTTTTTGCATGTCATAGCTGAAAAGTGTAATTTTACATGTGATGAAAAAGGAACACCCTGCACTATGCTTATGTTCCATATTGACTCATTCGGGGCCAGATCCTTCACCCCTGAAGTCAGTAGATGCTTTGCCATTGACTTCAGGGAGTACAAAAGCATGTGATCTAATTTGTGCCAATAACATTTCAAATATTAAGAAGCACTCCTTACCATGTTGGGAAAAGTTATTTGTAAGTTTAAAAAAAAAAAGTAAACAAAAAAGCTAGATCATGCCCTTCCTAGGAAGGGAAAATTTCTAGTCTATTTTGGGTATCTCCACAGGGTCACCCACTCAGTGAGGTGGAGGTGGTGGCTAGCCATAGGTCCTACATTATACAAGGAGGCTGGGGATCCATGAAAAACTCTGTAGACCACCCCCTCCCCAACCATGCTTGAAGACTTTGCTTGTGACTGGAAGGCTCCACCATTTCTTACACCAGCAGTTCTTATGCTGCCACTGTTTCCCTTGCTATGGGCATGATCCAGAGCGCACTGAAGTGAATGAGAGTCTTTCCATTTATTTCAGTGGGCTTTGGATCAGGCCCCCTGGCTTCATATTCAGACCTTCTCCGCAGGTTGTTAATTCAGGCATGAACCAACATTTACCGCTGTGACATTATGTCAGAGTTGAATTCCCTACATCAGAGAATCATGCCATCTAGCGCAGAGGTTCTCAAGCTGTGCTCCATGAACCACCAGTGGTCTGCGAGCTCCATTCAGGTTGTCCACAGATAGTTCCCTCTAAGGTGCACACGCCTGGGCAGCCGCACACGAATGAATGAAAGGCCACCCGCCTAATTAGTGGAGCTGCGTAAGCATGGTTCCACTAATTAGGTGCCTGAACCCTGGAGAAGACGCACATGTAAGGTGAGGTGGTGGCCTTGGGGAATAGGAGGTAGGTGGGAGGGGGCAGTGGAGTGAGAAGAAGGGGTGGGGAAAATTTGGGACGTGCAGGGCTGCAAAAGCCAGAGAAAGAGGCGACTTTCCCCAGCTCCAGGGCTGCAGCTGCCAGGGAGAGGACCCCCACTCCCCCCGCTCCTTCCCAGCCTCAGCTCTGTGGCTGCTGTGGCAGGGGAGAGGGGGAGAGACCCCCACTCCTTTCCGCCCATCTCAGTGGCTGCCGCGGCGCGGGAGACACCTCCCCCTTCCCAACCTCAGCTCGGGGGCTGCTGTGGTGAGGGAGAGATCCTCCTCCTTCGCAGCTCAGGAGCTGCCGTGGCGGCGGGGAGAGGGCACATCCGTTGCATTAGAAAGGTAAGACTACTGATATTAAAATAGGAGTTGTGTGCTTTTATTTGTAGAACAAAAAAAATGAAGTATATAGCTTTTATCCAGAGTGCTTTACAATAGTTAGCTAATGGTACAAACAGCATTTGGAAAGATCATTAAGTGGTCCACCGAGACCCTCAGCAATTTGCAAGTGGTCCGCACGAAGAAAAGTTTGAGAACCACTGATCTAACGTGTTCTTTGGATCTACCCACTTGGCTACCAACAGACATTCCCTCCTCCCCACGTTCCATTTCCAGCAGATCTGCCTCAACACATCTTGTTTACAGGGAGGCCTTCCCAACTAGTAGATCGTTTATTTTTGTATTTGTAGCCCTCATTTAAAAAGTTACTACTTGATATGTTTCAGCGTAACAGCCGTGTTAGTCTGTATTCGCAAAAAGAAAAGGAGTACTTGTGGCACCTTAGAGACTACTTAGAGACCCCCAGATCTCACTGTTAAATGTAAAACTCATTTGTTTTTCTTAGCTTTCTCTCAATAAGTTCTCCTCTCTCATACTCTGCAAACAAAATTCCCCCAAAATACAAATTAATCAAGCTATTGCTCCGACGAACTGTTTTGTTTTGTTCTTATTTCTGTTTGTAAATGCTTGGGAGGATCACCAGTACTACAGTGATGGGAGGCCATAGATACATAGAACACGCTTGGAAATCTGAACTGAAATTCAACCCCAACTGATAAATCCTATTAAAATATTAACAAGAATATGTTGGTACTTACTCCTACTTTGGTGTTAATGAAACTTGTATTGCACTGCTATCATCCTTGCAATATTGAATTTTGCTCCTTAAATTTTCTTTTTGATTTTTGTTTATACATGGTCCGTAGTTCAAAATATTAATAAACAGTGTTCTTGTATGTTAGCATATAATTAGTAAGGCTCTTGACATAGCTATAAAATAACCCCCACAACACACAATCTCTCCTTAATTTGAATAAGGAATCAGTCATGCCAAACTTGTCATTCCTTCAGTGCCGTAAAAGGACTGTTGCTGAATATCTGACAATTAGGGCTGTCGATTAATCGCAGCTAACTCGTACGATTAACTCAAAAATTAATTACGATTAATCTCCGTTTTAATTGCACGGTTAATAAATTTCAATTTGTATTCTATTCTTTAAATATTTTGGATGTTTTTCTACATTTTCATATATATTGTGTTGATTTCAAAGTATATATATTTTGGTTATAAATATTTGCACTGTAAAAATTATAAAGAAATAGTATTTTTCAATTCACCTTATACAAGTACTGTAGTGCAATCTCTTTATCATGAAAGTTGAACTTAGAAATGTAGATTTATTTTTTTTACATAACTGCACTCAAAAACAAAACAATGTGGGCTCTGAAATTTTAGAAGTCCACTCAGTCCTACTTTTTGTTCAGCCAATTGCTAAGACAAACAAGTTTGTTTGTTTGCATTTACAGGAGATAATGCTGCCCTCTTCTTATTTACAATATCACCAGAAAATGAGAACAGGCATTTGCATGGTACTTTCGTAGCTGGCATTGCAAGGTATTTTTATGACAGATATGCTAAATATTCATATGTCCCTTCATGCTTCAGCCACCATTCCAAAGGACATGCTTCCATGCTGATGACACTCGTTAAAAAAAGATGTGTTAATTAAATTTGTGACTGAACTCCTTGGGGGAGTACTGTCTGTCCCCTGTTCTGTTTTACCCGCATTCTGCCATATAATTCATGTTATAACAGTCTCGGATGATGACCCAGCACATGTTGTTCATTTTAAGAACATTTTCACTGCAGATTTGGCAAAATGCAAAGAAGGTGCCAATGTGAGATTTTTAAAGATAGCTACAGCACTTGACCCAAGATTTAAGAATATGAAGTGCTGTCCACAATCTGAGAGGGACAAGCTGAGAGCATTCTTTCAGAAGTCTTAAAAGAGGAGCACTTGGATGCAGAAACTACAGAACCCAAACCACCAAAAAAGAAAATCAACCTTCTGCTGGTGGCATCTGACTCAGATAATGAAAATGAACATGCGTCAGTCCTCGCTGGTTTGGACTGTTATTGAGCACAACCAGTCATCCGCATGGACACATGTCCCCTGGAATGGTGGTTGAAGTATGAAGGGACATATGAATCTTTAGCGCATCTGGCACATAATTATCTTGCAACGCTGGCTACAATAGTGCCATGAGAATGCCTGTTCTCACTTCCAGGTGACGTTGTAAACAAGAAGTGGGCAGCATTATCTCCTGCAAATATAAACAAACTTGTTTGTCTGAGCGATTGGCTGAACAAGAAGTAGGACTGAGTGGACATGTAGGCGCTGAAGTTTTACATTGTTTTATTTTTTTATTGCAGCTTTTTGGGTACATAATTCTGCATTTGTAAGTTCAACTTTCATGATAAAGAGATTGCACTACAGTACTTGTATTAGGTTAATTGAAAAATACTATTTCTTTTGTTTTTCTACAGTGTAAATAATTGTAATCAAAAAGAAATATAAAGCGAACACTGTACACTTTGTATTCTGTGTTGTAACTGAAATCAATATATTTGAAAATGTAGAAAACATCCAAAAATATTTAAATAAATGGTATTCTATTATTGTTTAACAGTGTGATTAATCACCATAACTATTTTAATTGCTTGACAGACCTACTGACAATATGTTGTTAAGAAAGATATCTAAGACAAGGAAAGTTGTGGTGTTTTTGTTTTTTGCTAGAAATGAGGTGTGCAAATTTTTAACAGTGAGAGTAATTAACCATTAGAATAACTTAGCTAGGGTGGATTTCCCCCTTCACCTTACTTCTTTAAGCCAGAAGTTATGATGAGCTTGAGGCTGGAGCCACTTGGTGAAATTCTGTGACTTGTATTATGCAAGAGGTCAGACTAGATGAACATAGTGCCCATTTCTGGCATTAAAATCTGTGAAATCTTATCTGAGCTAATTTATGCAAATGTTTGTATAAATGCTCCTCTCTTTTCTTCACTTGGCCAGATCCGATCACGTTATGGATCTAACCAAATCGGAAGGATACATGAGTCGGTGAGAAAGAACATGGACTTCTGAGAACACTAACTTCCTAGATGCTTAAAATAGAAGAGCCTAGGATTATGGTGATCAGTTACCTGTGGCTACAAAGATGGAAGAGCAATGGACCCCTCTACCTGTACCTATATAAATAAAGTTTTAGAAAGCAGAGAGAACTTAAACTGAACCAAATAATTATTTCAGCCATGGGAGATAATGAAAGTTTTTGGGAGAGCTTGATATATGCACATCCTACCTGTGTAGCCTGGAAGCAAGAGGCAGAGGGATCTGTCTACCACCTAGCTAGTATTCTATTTGTTGTTGGCTTCATGGGAGGAAGTGGATTCTTTGGGCTAATGTACGTCTTCAGTTTGCTTGGATTGGGTTTTCTCTGCTCTTCTGTATGGGCTTGGCTGGATGTATGTGCTGCTGATATATTCTCCTGGAATTTTGTCCTATTTGTGATATGCTTCATACAATTTATTTATGTAACCTACCAAGTTCGGAGTGTTTCCTTTGAAAAAGAATTCCAGGAACTCTACAGTTCTCTTTTTCAGCCTCTGGGAATCTCCTTGACTGTTTTTAGGAAGATTGTCTTGTGCTGTGATGCAGAAGTGGTTACTTTGGAGAAGGAGCATTGTTATGCTATGCAAGGCAAAACACCTATTGATAAACTCTCTATGCTTGTGTCTGGAAGGTTTGTATCAGTTTGTTCTTATCTATTTACAGGGTGGGTTTTTTTTTTTTCAAATATAAAATATAAAATATTTTATCCAAATATAAAAGTAAACAGTAATTCCTTATTTGTATATTGTTTGCTCACAATTAATTCAAGTACCAGAGATTAAATAGGTTGACAGTTTAAAAACTGTAAACATGTCCAGGAAGTCTCCCAGCATGAGAACACTTTGAGCCCAAAAGCCTAACAGCTTAAAGAACAAGGAGACTAATATTTTTTCAGACCATTGTATTATACCACTTCCATTTTTCCTTAAGTAATTCAAATAAAGGGAGTATGAGTGCATTAATCAATGTGTACACTGTATTTGTTTTAATAACATAAGAATATTTTAGAAGTGTTATCTATTAGTATAACCTGACTAATGAATCCAATGAAGTGAGCTGTAGCTCACAAAAGCTTATGCTCAAATAAATTTGTTAGTCTCTAAGGTGCCACAAGTCCTCCTTTTCATTTTTCTGACTAATATGGGAAACAAAATTGTTCTACACCGTTTAGCAGTGAATGCTGTGTTTATTTTAATAGTGTATCATTACATTATAGCCTAGATTGTACCTGGCTGCTTCATGGGTGTCCAAGGAGTGGAAAAAGGCATAAGAAACAAACAGCCTCCCTCTACGACAGCTGGGCACAACTACTGTCCCTACTAGTGTCTGCATGAGTGCTAGCTATGCTGCAGGGGTAGTGTCCATCCCTCCACATTGGCCAAACATGCAGGGAAGTGCATGCTACACTCCTTCCTGGGGTACGACAAAAGACTTGCACCCCCATGCCCATGGGAGATGAGAGCATTAAGCCCCATCCTGAGTAGCCCTCAGAGAGGCATACAAGGTCCAGTTGAGTCCTAGATAATTTTTTAACTCATGAAAATCTTGGTCTGTGGAGGACTAGGCCATTCATACAGAGACCCAGTGTCTCCATGCTATTCCCCTGGCCTTAATCACAGCTTCTGAAACAGCATTACCTTGCATGGGAAAACCATATATGTTACATGAGGGATGTCACCCCAGAGGGCTACCATACCCCCTCTCACCTCAGCCCTCTAAAATGCAGAGCCACAAAATAACAAAGGGGGTTCTATAGGTCTTCGAAGAAGAAGGTGAATCATGCTTTTTCACCATTTCTATGTATATCCGCCATATCAGGTCACCATATGCCTAACATTCAGCCCTTCCACATGCCAGTCACCTTTAGAATGATCTTGCCTTGAGTAAGGACTATAGGATTTGAACTTTAGTTGCTTGCTTGCTGTTTTGTGTGTGCTTGTTCCAACTGCATATAAAAACTTAAAGAAAACAGTATGAACAAATCAGCAGAGACCCCACTGACTTCAACTCCCTATACTGAATATTAAAGTACCTCACATCTAGCTGCTGTTTAATATTAGAAGTAACTTACTATTCTGTCTACTTTTATGAGTGCAATATTGACATATCCACTGTATTTTGGTAGGATCAGAGTGACAGTTGATGGAGAGTTTCTGCATTATATTTTTCCCTTTCAATTTCTGGATTCTCCTGAATGGGATTCCCTTAGACCCACAGAAGAGGGTATTTTCCAGGTAAAACATGAGGGGGTTTTGTGTACTACTTTAAACTGTTGCATAGTTAATTACTTTAGAAATTAATGTACTGTATTATTTTTGTTACTGAAAATGCCAGACTTGAGTCTATAGGGGAGGGAGGTCTGGTTACTCAATTGATTGGTGAGGTCTGTATTCTGTTGGTATCTCCTTTCTATTTAGTTTTATATTGTTGCTGCAAAATCTGATTGCTTAGAAAAAATGATTGTGTTCGGCATTTCAGAATTAGACTGCCTTTGTATTCTGTACTGGTATTTTTACATTTTGTCTAGGCTGACAGCTAGAGAACTTCCGGATCCAAGGAAACTAGAAATTCTTGGTTTCTTCCCCACCTGTCCTTTATCTGCAATGAGTCTTGGGTCATATTCTCAGCTGGCTTAAATTGACATAGCTCAGTTAACTTCAACTGTTGTAGATACAGAGCAGAAAGAATAAGGCACATGCACAGGCAGCAATCCAAGAAGCGCTAGTGGCACTTTCAGAGGACTATTCGTAGGATTTCTGTGGCCAATTGTCATAAATCCTGATTCTGCAGTTTTTACTTATGCAGCTTTCCCACTGAAGCCATAGGAGTTTCTTCTGAGTAAGAAGAACAGGCTTGAGGCCTTCATACAATTGTATAGTCAACATCAGCACACCAGAATTTAGCTATTTTTAATCTCATTTTCAGGTAACTCTTACAGCAGAGACAGACTGTCGATATGTGGCTTGGAGGAGAAAGAAACTGTATTTGCTGTTTGCTAAACACCGTTTCATCTCACGTCTGTTTTCAATTTTAATTGGGAATGACATTGCTGATAAACTATATGCCTTGAATGACAGAGTGCACGTAGGAAAAGGACTTCGATACGACATCCGGTTACCAAACTTCTACCAAGTGGCAGTACCAGGGACACCCAAAGTGCAACCTGCAGAACAACTTGTGAGCAATTCAAGACAAAAGTTCACTAACTTTGGAAACTGTGACTCTTCTAAAAAATAATAAACACAAAAAATGATAAATTAAATAGGGAAATACAAGTTGTTAACAGGAAAATCAAGCTGAACAATACCTAGTAAAGCCAAACTTGATTGAAAGTGCCATTTACTTTAGTTAAAATAACTTGCATCCCTTTTCTCCCTGCTGAGCCAGCTGGTTGGCTTGTACATTTTGACTAATTATGCATTATGATTAATTTCTTTTGTTGGTCTTTACTTTTGGGGGGGGGGAATGAATCATGAGGGGATGAAGCTTTATTGTAATTGTGGTGCCTTCTGTGGTTTGTTTTTTTTTTTTAAGATATTTGCATAGCGCTCTTGATCATATGTATTCCAACTTACTTGTCATAATGAATTATGGAATACAACAAGCAAGTTATTTTGAGTTCCTTGTTACATTCATAATTACAATATCTGGACCTGGTCTTTTTTTTAAACCATCAGAAGCTTAGAGAAGATTACTTTAAAAACATTTTTTAAGTCAGATTGTCTTGTTTTCTTTTTTTAAAAAGGGAAATGACAGAATGTGAAATGCACAGTAAGACAACTTTTTTTTTCTCCATTCAGTCCATGAACAGTTGATTTCTCTGAGGCTATAGGAAAGAAGCATTACAAAAAACACTAATGTAATTGCCGACGTGAAAAAAAAGTAAAGCAATCAATGTAATTGCAGCAAAGTATATAATAGGAAAAAAATTGTGTAGTGCTTTTAATAGAATGTGATGCTATAGTAACTAGACTTAAAAGGTGTAAGTGCCAATCATAATGTAAAATAAATACTGTACAACAATCCATCACTAACACATTTAAGTCCGAATTTTACAGCAACCCTTTCAGCCAGGTTTGTCATAAAGCGACACAAATCAGTAAATACATGGGGCTACCAACATAAAACAGCAAACTATTCTTCTTAGTAGTGAAGTACTCCTATTCAGCTTGCAAAGTCACTTTTCTGTGCCTATAAACTTTTTAATTTAAAATACATCTTCTCCCTAGTATGTGTGGGTGTCTTTAATAGTTTATGAGGATTCAAGATCAACATTTGGTTGGGGAAAGCTAGTTTTATACTTTTTCCAATTGATCTTGAGGTCATGGTGCCTTTGGGGAAGAGGTGTTTGAATGTCTTTCTTAACTTACTTCCTTGCTCTATGCTTGATGCATGCCTGTAATCAAAAAGGGAAAACCATTACTATTTTATGAGACAATATTAATGCTTGATACATATCAAGGTAGATTGCCTTTTTAATATTTAAAATTTAAAAAAATTGCTCTAGGGCTTGGGAGGAAAAGTTAGTGCCTGCCTTTTTGCTTTTTTTTTTCTTCTTTTTTTTTTTTTTAAACTAGATCTTACGAGTCATTGGTGGAGGTTCAAAGCAGTTGCCACAGTGTCTACCTTTGAAGGTAATCTTACTGTGTAAGAGAGAAACTCTTTCAAAAACACATTCATCCTGGAGCCTGAGTCAGTAGTTTTCAGTAAGAGTGGCTTTACAGAACAAACCAAATAAATCCATGTATTTTAACAAAGTTATTACAAGTGATGAAAAACGTATATATTGTACATCACTCAATACAAATAAAAGTAGCATTGTACAATGCAAGAACACATTCTGCTTTTAGCTTTTGTCCATTTTCTAGTGAGAAATGTGTAGTGGTGCCATGTGATATTGCAAATCTACTCGTGTATAATGGGGGTAATCCCAAATTCATGCTAATAACCTCTTTATTATGTATTCCCTATGTTATACCACATGATGTCACAATGTCCATAAAATTACTTTGTTTCTGTAACCCTGTGGCAATACCTGCAGCCATTTAATTAACTAAAAGATGCTGAGTCCCTAAATTAATTTTGGAGCTGAGGATGTACAGTATTTTGCAGGAGGTGGCTTGCACCTCATATAATTGGGTTCTCTTATTGCTCTGTTGACTTCTCACTTGTGTTCTGCCAACTCATCCATGTCCGCCACAACTATCAAATATCTCACTCTTCAGATAAACTTTCAACATTTTTTTTTAAAGTACCCCAAAATTATTTTTTCCTCACCAAGTCTGATGTAGACAAAAACCCAGGATTGAATATGTCCATTGCCATATAACTTGTTTTGGACCAATAAGAGATTTTACAATATTTTATGACGCCCTAGGACTAGAAATGCCATTAGAAAGCTAGTATTCTAGCTTTGACAGATATAGACAAAGCATTGATTTATTGCTCTGTTAGCCCTTAAAATCAAGACATCCTGACTTTTTCTTTTTTTTAAAAAAAAAAAGCTAATTTTAAATAGAGGTTTTACAAAACTTACTAGTACTAATTTCCCTTGCTTGTACTATCAGATATATAGGGTAAAATTCTGGTCTGCTTTGAAATCAATGACAAAACTCCCATTTAAAATTCTATGACCATGAAATTGACCACAATTGACCTTGAATTTGGTAGGGTTCTAATTATCAGTGTGAGTATGTACAGCGAGACAGATATAGACTTTTGGCCTGATTCTAGTCTCACCCCACTGTGTAAATCAGGAATAATGTCATTAATCAATGAGGTCTTACTGGTTTAAGTGACAGGGTAATCAAGTCAATGCTGCTCTTTGAAGCACAGAGGTCCATATTGTGAATCCTTTGCTTGGACTGTAGTGACTCTGCTTGAGTAGCACCTCGCTCTTTGAATAGTTGCATTGTCTTGAGTGGGGCTATTGATGGAGTTGGGTACTGTTATAAGTAAATCTGGCACAATGTGACTGTTTTATAAAGCAGCTGTTTGCCCTTTCATCTGTGCATCAGTCTGTCAACTGATTAGTGCTTCTAGCATTTTTGAACATGTCAGGCAGGAATCCCCCTTCTGAGTTGCAAATTTCAGGCCACACACCAGAAAGATAACTGTGCCCCAGGAAGAATTCAGCTCAAAGAGAGAAGATGATGTTTGCACCACCAGCGTTCTCAGGAGTTCCCCGAGGGAATGGTTCATTTTAATTTGGGGTTCTGACTCCATATGAGGTTCACTGGCAGCATCTGCCTACAGGACACCCCAAATCAATGTATCCTCTTCATACCATTGCTGTGAGCCCTCCACAACTAGTGCTGCCCACTTTTGAGGCGTGGCTGGCTGGCTGGCTGGCTACGGTCCTTTGACAGAATAACACACAGCTGAATCAAGCCTGTAAAGCTAGGGGCCTGACTGCCACTCATTTGTAAAGTAGCTCTTACATTGCAAGCAGTCCCATTGAAATCCAAATAATGTGAGTACGGGTGACAGAATTTAGTCTTGTGTAAAAAGCAAGGGTTACATTCTACTCCACTGCCTGGGGTGACAACATAGCTCTATTTATTATAATACATGGTGCAACTTCTAATCAAGAATTATTTGCCTTGGACCAAAACAGAAACTGTGGCTCAATCTGATCAAAGACGACTTGATCATGGAGTAGATTGTGGTACATAACACACAAGATTCAGCCTGTTTTGTAGAAAAATGGGAAACGAGCATGAATAATAATGTTATAGACTTACCACTTAGCTGAAGCTATGCAATCTTGCAATGATGAAATGATATTGATACCACTTTCTAGAAAAAAGTTTGATAATATGAAATTATTGTGACACAATGCATTGCCTACCGTTATATTCTCAACCTACAAGAAAAATTACAATAAAGTATTTTGCCACCGATGTGAACTGGTCTTGCAAGACCATCTGTTATTAAAAACAATTCTCAATTATTTAGGTACATAACATGAAGGAAAAAAAACTACACTGAACTCAGGGGTGTAAAAATAGGTAAAATTACTCTACTTTCTTTATACTGCTGTAATAGTTGAATTTATATTAAAGTGGGAGTATTTCTGAAATACTCTGAGGTAGCTGAATAGACACACTGTCAAACCAATTCCTTAGCCTACCTTTTGAAAGTGTTTATTTTGATTATATTTATATGCATGAAAAATATAAAAGTACCATAATGGGCTCATGATTCCAGAGGGAGTACATCAATTTTTCATCTGCATAATTCATACTAACTTGTTTCTTTTTGTAGAGTTTTGTGTGTGTCTGCAGTTTCTGCTTAATTTTCTGTCTAGTGTAGATGCAGTAAAAGCTGTAATGGGCCTTGCATGTTTCGGACAGATTGTTATAGTACACCATTCACAGAACCTGACCTTGTAAACACTGATGTTTGAATTTTGTGGTGTTAGTAATCCCACACAAAAGTGCTCAAGAAGACAAGTGCTATACATAACCCACTTTGTTATTTTAACTTTCAAAGTCTTCACCTCTGTTCTATGCATACCCACGTCCCAATGTGAATCAAAGGAATTAATGAAACTTAACATGCAAATTAGCAATTTAGCCTGGTAACTTAACATGTAAATAAATCCACATCATCCTGGTGAATCAAAGAGTGTAGGTGGAGCTTCATAAATACAAATGTGTAGGAGAAAATCAGTACAAGTGAGGCATGTGACCTACCCGGCTGCTCTGGAAGGCTTAAGCAGCAGCTGTGACTTCAGTGGGACTAATTGTCTGAGTAAGGATTTACAGGATTGTGCTTAAGGTCAAAAAACTGCTGGCAGATTTACCTACAAAGGCAGCATACAAACATCACCCATGGGGAAGGTAAGAAGCTTCCAAGAGCTTGAGGAAGATGTTCCAGTAGTTAAAGCGCTACCCAGGGTTCTGGGAGACCTATTTTAAATCCCTGTTCCATCATTGACTTTGTATGACCTTGAATAAGTCACTCAGCCTAAATTCCTCATCTGTGAAATGGGAATGATAGCACTTCCTTACCTCACAGTGGTTTTGTGAGTCAGTATGTTAAAGATTGTGATGTGCTCAGAAGCTAATGATAGGGGCCATATAAACACCATAAGAAGTTGTGATAAAATAATAGAGAGAATGAATAATGTTTGCTCCTCTCAGTGCTGGCACTCAGTTCTAGCCCTGGAAGATCTTCAAATACCTAACTTCAAAGTCATGAGCCTTATACACAAAAAACTATTTTTAATAACTTTTAGATATTTGCACAACTATTTTTAATTTCCCCGTACAATGTGGGCTCCTGGTAGCGGAAGTCTTGTTGAATTGAGATTCAGCCATTGGGGGCTCAACTCCCAGTGTAACTGCACTAATACAAACCCCAAGTATACTTAAAAAAAAGCTGCAATTTGCATTAGTTGAGTTTACTGCTGTCTGAAATCCTGGCTTTCCTTGTCTACAGTTGGGACTTGCACTGGTGCAGCTAACACCAGTTACTGGCTACCAATGGCTGAAAATGCCAAGTATAGACAAATCATAAGGATCATAATTGTACAGGTAGAAGAATACAAAAGAAAACCTCAGTGTAAAATATTTAAATTTCTCTAAAGCATTCTTAAAATAGTATTTTTTCCATAGTACATATGGCATATATGTAATAAGATGGTATGAAGTTTCATTAACATTTATTTGGAATAACTTGCATTACTTGTCAAGTTATTGAGTTGTGCAACCATTACCAATTGCTGCTCATAAAACCTTTGTACCACACCATGTCTGTTTGTGTGTGTGTACATACACACGCACGCTTCATACAGTGTAGAGGATGGACTGTGCTCTGGGAATAGCTCTGGGGGGTGTGGTGAATGAAGATGTTGTTTGTATGACTTTGTAGTGGAGCAGCTGCCCCCACTCCTGCAGAATAGGGGATAAAAGCAACCCTGGAGAGGGCTACAGTAGGGAAGAGGAGTGAAAACAGCTGGGGGAGGCTGATTGTGTAGCTGACCACAGCTGTGGCCAGCTCAATCAGGGCCCTGACCCCCAGCTGTGGGAGGGAGGTGCAGAGCCCCAGGCGAGGGCAGCCCAGGCCACAGCCACTGGTTGTGGGGGATATACAGCCACGGGGGGCAGGCACAGCCACAGCTGGGGAGGGCGCAGGATGCACAACCCTGGCTCTGGTCCCAACTGCAGCTGCTGACAGCTGAAGCCAAAGAAGTCACAAAGGTCCAGTAAAGTCATGGAATCTGTGACCTCCATGACTAAATATTATCCTTAATCATAATGCATATTATTCCTGGGGGAATTCTCCACCACTGCACATGCACAGAATTCATGGGTCCTGCAGATTTTTTTTCCGCCGCAGAAAATACATTTTGTCGGACAGGCACTGCAGTTCCGCCTCTCTCCCACAATACAGCAGCCAGCTCACTGCTCACTAGCCCTTGCAGTCAGCAGCCGAGAAGGAGAGAGCAGAGGCTCATTCCTCACAGCACCCTGCTTGCAGGGCCAGGTGAGGAGGCATGGGATACATGAGGGGGAGGGGGCAGACAGACCAGGCCACATGTACCTGCTAGGCATCATATAGACTGGGGTCCAGAAGGGCGAGCGGGCAGGATAGTCTGGACCAGGTGGTCAATGGGAGTGGGGTTGCAGGGACACATGGAGATAGGGGAGGAGGTACGGGGACAGGGGAGATGTACCTGACTGATTGGGAAAGGCTAGGGGTCAGTCAGGGTCTACATGGACGAGGCTCCCCAACTTCCTAACAATCCCTCCCCTCCTCACAAAAAAAACTGTTCCATACTTCTCCCACCCACATCCAACAACCCTCCAGGTTCACTTTCAGGCTCCTTCCCAGCAATTACTTTCCTCTCCCTCAGCTCCTCCATTACCCCTGACTCCCTCAAACCTTTGCACTGCTTCTGAGGGGTGAGGGAAATATGGTTCGGTATTGCAGTTTAAATGAATTATTACTCAAAGTTCTGTATTAATATGTCTAGTAAGGAATCTATTTGACCAAAAACATTTCCTGAATCTTTTTTGTTGTCTATATTGTTACAGAAATACTTGCTGAGAAGTATTTTGAAATAAATTACCAAAATAATTAAAATGGGAGTGATTTATATAGTGTTTTGACAAATAAAATATGCAGAATTTTAAAATATAGTGTGCAAAGTTTTTCTTTTTTTTTTGGCAGAGAATTTAAGTTTTTGGTGCAGAATTCCCCTCAGGAATAGCATATGCAGAAGGAGGCTGAAATAAGGTTGCAGAGGCACTTTAATTCCTAACTTCTGAGAATTTATTTAACTCTGCAACTTTAATGTTCCTTTAGTTTTTATTTATTGTAACTATATCTAATTTTGATGTAACTTTGTATTTTGCTAAGAGATTTAGCTGATAAACATCTTTTATATCTTTTAAAATATATATCAAACTTCATACCTCTTATTTTAGTTTCTAGAAATCTCATCCTATGTTTTTAAGCAGAACTCCCGCAGTGAAATCAGTGCTTAAAAATAAATACCAGGATACAGCCCTTACTGTTTTGGGTTTGTTTTTTGTTTTTCCTGAATCTCCATTTTCTGGTCCCAATTCAGTTATAGTTTTTCAATACAATTAAAGTCCATTTGGCATATATAAAACAATTTGGAGATTCGTTATAAATGATAAGAACATAGCAGTATGTAAATACTGAGGACCTGAAGTCAGATGTGGAATATAAAATATTATACTGATCTATGATTTTACTAGCCAGTGTACTTTGTTCTTCACCATAGTTATCTGAATAGGTATTTTAGGTCAGAACAGCACTGTATACACAATGCTTTATGCATTTATTGAAAATAGCATTTGGTGCAAAAACAATAGACATACTGCAAGTGTGTGTGTGTGTATACACTGCAGTGCCTACTTTTAAGGGCTCAGTTTAATAGATTTACTTTACAGAGCAAAGAGCTATAATAAATGTTGTTCATTAGACTGGTCTTCCCCAAATTTCATTGAATACAGCTGAAAAATTTTAAATGATTCTTCGTTTGTCTAGTATTTTGAAAGATCATTCAAAATTGCTGCAGGAATACTTTATCCTGACTCTTCTGGCAAGGATTAAAGTAGTCCAGAATATATATTGGCATGCATTCTGCTATAGTGAGTTTAAATAAAGAGCGTACATGAGATCTTACATGTACATGGGCTCAATATTTCTGATTCTATAGTCCTGCACTGTGAGTTTTGAATGCAAAATCAGACTCTTAATGTCAATTGTTTTATCTTTTTAAGTGATCACACATTACATGACTTTAGAATTAGAAGTTAATCCAGCCAAGGAACAGAATAGTTACATTAGGGTCCCCTTAGCTCAAGTTAATGCTGAAGGCAGACGGTATCTTGAAGTCTCTTGTTTTGGACTCTTGCTCTGAACAAACACATGAAATACTCATACTTGGTCTCCAGGCTCCGTAGATTCTTTCCAGTGTGCTGGGAGAGGATCGTGCACAGTCACAGGTTGGCCAGATGCTTGCTCTTGACCCTCACTTCCCAGAATGTATCTGGTGATTACCCTTCCCTGGTATTTCTTGTCTTTTACCATCTCTATTACTCTTCTCTCTCCTCTGTCCCTGACTCCAGGGAGTAGAAAAGGATGACTGGAAAATGCCCTTTTACCACCTTTCTTCTCATCTGGCTTTGTCCCCATATACTACTCCTCAGATCTCATAATATTTTTACCCTTAACTCCTATCTTCTTTTATTGTCCTTTCGTTAAATGATTTTATAGAATCACCTTCCAAATTCTAGCTTTTAATTTTTCCCCCCTCC